GATTGGTGGGCCTGATGGATAGAGCTTCATCAGAGCTAAATAACAAAAGAAATCTGAAGCTCCTATGTTTACCAGTTTTTGAGTTATAAGTATTTTTGCATGTGCAGACACCCCCTCTTTGAAAGGAGCCCCCCTCCTCACATATGGGGTCTATCGTAAAACTGGTGGCTGGTGCAGTGTAGGTCAGACTCTTCTACAGTCCTGCCAAATTTCATGTTGATCGGTGCAGCCATTTCTGTGCTACGGTTGATCAAAAATCTCCTGAGAAAAAATATAAAAATAATAAAAAATCAACAGAACGAAAACAATATGACCCCCGCTTACGGTTCACGTGCGGGGGGTCATAACTAAGCTGCATCTGTTTATGAGCTCTGTCCAGCAAAGGGAAGGTGGTCTTGACCCGGTCATGGCATTTTGGTAAACTGTGGCAAAGGATGGTGAGTGTTTGCTGTCTTCATTTCGCTCGTTTGTCTGTACTTGTGCTGGGTTTGCCTTGGACAGAAAATAACGTCAGACTGGAACAATGGAAAAACAGCAGCTCTACCACCAAGCAAGAGACAGCATGAAGACCAAGGAACTCCACACAGGTCTGAAGAAAACTGGTCTGAGAACTTACTCTTTTTTATAGTACCAATAAAGAACCAATTGAACTGGCTCTCTCAGATCTTTAAGGCCAATCACTAGATGGGTTATAAAGAAAATATCTCAGAACCTTGAACATCCAACATGCTCCAATAAATTTATTATTAGAGTTTTTATTTTTATTTTTTGTAATTTTAAAGTTTTTGGCTCACCATGTAATCGCTTCATTCTGTTGGTTCCTCAATTGTTCCTGTGACTGGCCTGGATGAGGGACAAATGTATGGGGTGCCGTTTGTAAAGTTACACGGTCAAAAATTTCCACCAATATTTTTGTTTTATAAGAAAAAAAGAACAGATTTATTTATCAAAGACAGTTTTTCACCATATGTTTCATACATTTATAAATGTCATAGTTTATAATCTATTTAACTTACAAATTGAATGTAATAGAACTAATACTTTTATGTTTAAGCAAGTAATTCATAACATCCTTTAATGACCTAGGTTTTCATGACATGCTGTTCATCTGCAGATAGAATGATCAAAGTCAGAACAAGATCTGCTAACAACAGTCATTCTTAGATATCACTTGTGTTTATCTTTGTGTTTTCTGTTGACCTTGTATGAAATCTTGCTAAGATGACAGAATGGTGTTTGTTAATGTATATATGAGGCCTCTCGAGACACAGTGTTCAACAGTAGTGTGGAGAGACAGTGACAGAGAGAAGCAGAGGCACAGAGACAGGCCAGGTTGTTCTCTGTGTTTCCTGTTGTTGCAATAAAACTCAGCTGATCATCTCACGGAGTACTTTAATTCTTGGCTTGTTAACTAAATATTTAATTTGTATGTTAAATATTTAGTTTATAAACTGTGACATTTATAAATGAATGAGTTATATGCTGAAAAACTAACTTAGAAAAATAAATCTGTTCTTTTTTTCTTATAAAAGGCTAAATAAAACAAAAATATTGGTGGAAATTTTTGACTGTATAACTTGACAAATGGCACCCCATACAACTGGCCTGTTGTCTTTCTTTTCCCCATTTCAAAGGTTGTGGGGAGAATCATCACAACCTGTGGCTGCTGGATCGTGCTGCTCAGACAGATTACACCCTGGCTCCTTCTCATGTTCACATAATCCGGTCAATGATCGCTGGTCAACAAGACCTTAATTTTAAATGATTTGTTCATCTTCTGCAGGTTGGATTTTCTATTTATAACTGAAACATGGATGACCTCCGGTGTGTCCAGTGCTTTTTGTGAACTTCTGCCATTGGAACTGTACGAACTTTAGCTCTCTGGGGACGACAGGTTGTGGAGGGGGCATTGTGGCTGTTGACAGGGAGATGAATCTCTGTGCACAGATCACTTCAATAACATTTTATTCCAGCTTTCAGTTTAATTTATCTGAGCTTGGATCTTGTCCCCCAGTGCTGTTTTACAGACCTCCTAAGTACAACAAGGAATTTTTTTTTAGACTTTTTTGAGTTTGTGTTTGGTTCAACATAATAATGTGACCACACTTAAGATCTTGTTTTAGCTCATGGTTTGTTCAAGCAGCTAATGTAAAACAAAACATAAATAAACACCCTGAACAGTTTTATTATAAACTGTTTGAAATCTTTTTTGGCTCTCCAAACAAACCACATATAGAAGGAGAATTTGAGTTTAAATGGCTCTTTCACATGAATCTACATACTGCTGTCAAAGAACATTTTGACGCAGTCATAACCCCCCCGAGACAACTGCATTCAACAACTAAGAAATTTTGCTCACAGAGCTTATGATCTTTGTAAAAAGGATGCAGCCCTGAACTCTGACTCTAATCGAGCAGAAACAGCACCTCCTTCCCCTAAACAACAAGATAACGATTGTGAATGGAAACAAAAGTCTAATCGGGATGAACACTGTGAAAACAAAACAAAAACCTACCGGTACAAAAGAGAATTAAAAAAACAAACAACCTTCACACAAATCTTCACGTCAAAACTTTAAAGAGTAACTTACCACAAAATTAACATTTTTTTAGCTGATAAACTGTCTAGAATGTGTCTAAAATGTTATATA